TTTCTCTTCCCAATTAAATCTAAGCAGTATACATCAGATACAAATTACCTTTAATTACTTCAGATACAAATTGCCTTTAATTGTATCGCCTTTTTGTTGTTCAAAGTTATTTGAACTGCATTTTCAGTTGATGTTGATCTTCTAGTCCTCCTAYTGCTAAATCACCTTTTGTATTAAATTAACACATTCAGTATTAGTTTTCTACATGTAGGACAGAATGAATCTAGATAATGTTACAAACTCGGTTAAATTTTTCTGTAGGTCTACTTTATTTACAGTGTAATGTTCCCGAAAGGATTGCGATGGCTATTACTGTGCAAACAGTCAAAAGAAAATAGTTGAATTAACTAAAAGTACTATACTAATTACATACCTCTTTCCAACAAAGCTAAGAGATCTTTATGGATGAACATGAGTAGTAATGCATGAATAGTTGATAATAATGCTGTTGTAAAAGGAAAACCTCCTAAAAATTTTAAACTCATTGGAACTCATATAAACACTATTAAAAAAAAAAGTTTTAAAATACTGAGAATTATTAGAGTGGAGAAAAAAGTGTTCCATTTAATTTTGTAATTTAATATTCAGATTCTTTAATTGCATTCATGCAGACTGATGGAGTTTAAGTAGAGAAGGGACCATTTAACTGAGCAAAGTTATTACCTATATAAAATAGGCCATCATGCCTCATGTAATCATCTTTCTGCTGAGTTCACAAAGTATGTTTGGTGGAAGTAAAAGTTGTGTTTGACTGTCATAGAATTTTTTGAAAGACTTGAGGTCGGCTTTTGAACAGTCAAACAATAAAGAAGCTTCCACTTCTCTGGACAGTTTGTTTCAGTAGTCACTTCTACTTAGAAATATTTGTTCTTATCTATAAAGTAATTTCTATTTGGATTTCTTGGACTCAACTTCCCATTGTTTTTTGTTAGGCCATTTTAATTATCAGTGCCAGAACCAGAGCACGTAGCCCAATATCACTCACAGATGCCCCATAAAGAGGCAAAATCATTTCTGTGCAYGTTACTACTCTGTCTTTATCTCTTAGATCACACTTGCCAATTATTACAGTGCAATCTTGAGTAGTGTCATGTGTTTGATACAAGATTATTTTTATGTTTGTGACTCCCTGGATGCATCCTTTTCTTCTTCCTTTCCTTCCTTCCTTTTTCATCAGCAGGGGATATTAATTCATTGAGCCCAACTTACGAGTTACTATATTTCTGCCAGTTTTGTCCTTGCTGCTGCTCCTATCTCAGGATGAGAACAAGACCATAGCAGAAATGCATAATTCTTTCCACAGAATCTTTTAAGAAGTTCATGTGGTTAAATTCAATCTACACCGGAGCCTACAAAGTTGAGATAAATCCCACCGTAGGAATCTGAAAACAATGCGTAATAAGTTTATATGGAATAATAGAGGTATTCAATCTCTCTTTTTTTTTTTTTTTTTTTTTGTTAAATGAAGGTAGTGTTTAGATTGATAAGGTGGGTTTCGTGGAGTAAAAAATGTAGGCTTTTTTTATAAATATGGAAATTCAAAGCAATTGTTCAAGAGAAAACAGATACAAAAATATTTCTACATTATTCTGCCTGTGTTCTTCGTGTACTAGAAATGTTGGCTTAGGAAATAAAATGCTTTTGTGTTGCAGAGTGTTCTTCTTCACTGGTTTGGGTCCCTCGGAGGTTCTTYCTTTCACCTTTGAGGCCTGCCTGTCTGTTCCTTTCAGTGTAATCTTTCTGCCTTCCCGCATGGGCGGCAAGTTCCCAGCTCCTTGTGTGGGTGTGCTGCAGCCTGTGCTGCTCGCTGTCTCTGGAGTGTCCTTTTCCCTTAGGATGCCCAGGAGCTCCCAAGGGAGGGAGCCGTCTCTTTCTCCCTCCTCATGATCCATCTTTCTCTCTCTTCTTCTAAAAGGAACATAAATTTAAATGTAAATCAAATGAGGTAATTCACTGTGAGAATCACAGTAGGATTTTTTTCTGTGTTTTTTGTTTGTTTGTTTGCTTTCCTTAGGCTTTTGCTATACTTTTTGGAGGAAGGGGATTTAACAAGTTGTTGAATATTTTTTTTTTTTTTTTTTTTTTTTTTCTTGATCATGTCTGAAAACTTGTCTGTTACTTGACATAACATTGTACCTGGTGATGCTAATATATATGCGCACACTATCTGCATGTGTGTGTGTATATATATAAATACATTTGTGTGTACACATTTTACACACAAATGCTTGTATTTATATATTTCATATATATTTATTATAATCTAATATTTTGATCGGAAAGCCTAGTGGTACCTGTATGTACTCAGATCAGTTTGAAGCTTCAGCCTTCATTATGTGGCAAAGTTTGCGTAGGGATTAACAAGATTTTATGAGAGGATGGCCATCTAAAGGAAGTGGCTAATGTTTTTCATCTCTGTAAAGAAAGTGTGCTGTGTCAAATAAAAGGCTTGGTTGTTTGAGACAACATAGACYTAATGTTTCTGAGGCTCTGGGAGAGAAGCATGGACAAGTTCCTTTGTTAACCTGCCGTTATACAAATAGTCCACTTATTACAATGGATTCTTTATTGTTTGATGCATTAGTTACTGTTTCTTGGTTATATTAACGAGATTGTACAGAGGAAATAAGAATATAACAGCACTGATTTAAATTGGYTCAATCTATTGTAGAATTGTAACCTGTATTGTGTATTTGCAATATGTTATCTTTACCAGTTTTTCATTTTCTTTTTCTTCTTCAAGAATATGAATATTATTCTTCATCTCTTAAACTCAGATGTTCTCTTGAAACAGAACAGATGCCCGTCTTGATTTCTTTTCAGTTATCCTGTGTTTTTTTAATCTTGTGAAAATTTGATATAGTAGATAACAGTATTTATGTTAGGCAGGGTTCCAGCTTGAGTTCCTACATGCTTCATCTGCCAATTTACTTCTACCCATAATTCACTTTAGTCCTCCTGAGCAAAGGTGAACAGTATTGTTTGAAAGCCAAAAATTTTTTTCCTACTTAATGGTATAACAATCATATGTTCTCTATGACTATTTTATAACTTTTCAAAATTACTCTGCCTGAAAGTTATGCATCAATGCTGAGATTTTTGCCCTCTCCAAAGATCTGTGATCTGCAATTGAATTCTGAGATGTGTGCCATTTTTAAAACTGCTAGGAAGGATTCCATTACATCTCAAATTTAAAATTAAATAAGAATATTTGTTATTTTCCTGTTTTAGTGTTAAATTATGTCTCTGGTTTTTAACTTAGGTGTCAAAGAGAACAAATGAATGCATCTGGCATGCATGGATGTAATGCATTCAAGACAGCATTCATGTCATAGCTTTGCTTATGGTGCGTGACAAGGTGGTTTTTTTCTTTTTTTTTAAGACAGGCCTAAAATTATTTAAGAAGCCTATTTTGGTGGGTTTATTTATATGGATTAATTTGAGCATATTCTTAAGTGAACTGCTGAATTAAGGTAAAAATTACCAATTTTAGATTGCATATAAACCTTCATGCACTCTTTAATTGGTTAAAGGTGCTAAAGAAATGGTGTCGCTCAGAATCAATGCTAGGTAGTGAGTCTGCCAAGTGATTTTGGTCTATGATATTCATTTCTACATTCTAGTTAATAATGGAAAAAAATTAATTCTCAAGCAGCTGAAGGCTATATCAACATATTTTGAGGTCCAACACTTCGTTTAGTAAAGAGCTCAGTAACAGTTGAATGTTTCATGGGTTGATTTCTATTTTTCCTCAAGCCTGTAATGCTTTCCATAAATTGGAAAATGCTGCTTCAAGAAAAATCTGTTCAGTTATTTGTTTGCACACCATTGCATTAGAACGACTGATTAATTAACTCTTAATAGTCCCTAAACAGTGTTTATGTTTTACTCTGAATACTACACATCTTCAATAGTGATTCAAAACTAGTTACTTGATGATATTTTTAAGTGTTTATTTTTAAGTGTTTATTGTATACAACCAGAGSAAGATATTTCAACCTAAAAGCCTAAATGTGGTAAAAGAAAATCCATTTACTGTAGAATGAGAATAAAACATAAATATGACAGTACTGATTGACATCGGATGAGCATTATTGCTGCTGAAGGATTTGAGTTTAATGTTTAATATAACAACAGTAGGTGATATAGYTAGTGTTACTGTTAAGCCTGCATAGAAGTGTTATGCCTGTCTATTACTGATATAAACTAAACATTTTTTTTAGTGGATCCAGTTGAGTGGAAACATCTGTTTCATTTTTCTTTCATCTAACCCCCTAATTTAGTAATGTTAAGACTAGTTTCTATTGTTGTTTGCAGGTCAATAATGACCGACTTGTACTACCTCAGTCAAACAGATGGAGCAGGAGATTGGCGAGAAAAGGAGGCCAAAGATCTAACAGATCTGGTACAGAGGAGGATAACTTATCTTCAGGTAAGAAGGGATCAGAGGAAATGGTATACCACTAAAAYATGCCTTTTTAATAGAATAATTAAATGATAGTTTTCAGTGAATAATTATAGATAAAAAGTAGCTATTTACAGTTTTAATTGTAAACAGGTAAAAATACATTTTTATATTATTATTTTATTTGGATTTGTGATTTCTATGGGATGTACTTTGCTGTTTGAGTTCTGWATTTTTAAAATCTAGACATCTATTTTGTATCCTGTATGTTTTTTATTTTTTAATCTTTAGACTATCAAAATGCATGCATGCATACATATGATGTTTCATACATGATAGTCCTTTTGAAAAATATGAGTATGCAAGATCGATAGTTGTATAGTAAGTTATCCAGGCCTGAAGTATTTCACCCAGTGTGGAGGATATCTCACATGTGTGCATATGGGTGAGTGCAGAAAACCTTTAATATAATAAAGGTGTTTGCATGTATGTGTAAAATTTAAACCAAAACTTTATCTGAACATTTGAGTAGTTGCATTCATACATGAATGTGTGCAGCTTTTTATACAGTGATGAAAAAGATATATGATGTAGACTGTTGTGTGTATATATTTTCAGCTTGTTCTTCCTCACATGCGTGCACCTCGCTGCTGCTTGCTGTATAGCATCCCTSCTGCCTGACTCTTCCTCCCTGTTCAAGCAGCTGCCTCTCTCAGCCAGTTACTCATCATGTCACACTTCATGCTTGATCTTTGGAACCCCTTCCCTGTTTGTTAAATTTAAAAAAGATCCTCATGAAAACAAAATGTATGTAAATAAAAAATAACATGGAGGATATCACATTGTAGTCCTCCTTCAATTCCTCCTTGAAAACTGTTTTTCATTCCTCCATTCTTGATGTGACTACTTAACAATGCTGCACAGTAACTACTAACTACTTTCCGTGCTGATAAATATGATCTTCTGTATCGTGTATTTCCCTCTCTCTACTGCATCCATTTGTTGTCTTATCTAAGCATGTATACTTTTCAGGAGAGTGATCATCTTTCTGTTTTGTGTCTTAAAGTCTTCAAGGTSTTAATTCGAGATTGAGATCTCCAGGTACATAAAATGAAATACAAAAGAAATGGAAATTTTAAAGAATGAAAGCCCAAAACTGAAGCTTTAAACAAGCACTTGCATTGTTTCTAATAAGAGTGAAATAAATTTACTTCTTGAGAAAGGAGCTGGGAATCCAATTAGCTTCTCCTAAAATTTACTTAGGCACGTACTGAATTTAACGAAGGTCTTTCCATTCTATATAGGTCATTTATTCTCATTTAATGAATATATAAAAACAACATTGAAATATAAGCCAGTATAGCAGTAGTGAAGTAAAAGATGCTGGCRATGAAAATTGGGCAAGTTGTATTGCTACTGTGTGTCAGATCCAATTTTCGTTGAATACATAAGTCAGTTCTTTCATATGGAAAGATCTAGAAACTATACTGAAGGGACATATGTTTCCTTTTTCTTGAGGTTTAAATCAAGAAATGATGATACATGTTTTCCAAAATCTGTAGGTTTGGCTTTGATAAATATTGACTTGTTCAGCAATGTAACTATTTAGTTGCTCCAAAATATCAGCAAATTCCTGACTTTAACATCAGCAACATATTGCAAAAGTTAATTGGGTATTTATGATCAGATATTACTATCCTGTTTATTCTATATCTTTCTGTCAGTTCAGAATTTAAAGTACTTGGTCTGTAGATGCTCAGTTGATGTTATACTAAAATATGAAATAGAAATGTGTGTTGAGCCATCTTAATACCATCTTAGGAGGAGAGGATGATTTAGTTCCTAAATATGTTTATGAATGATTATTTACATCAAGGTCTATACTGCTGTCATTGTTCATATAACTGACTCATGCCCTGAGGCATGGTAGTTGAATATGTGCATCTTCGAATCACCCAAAGCTGGATTGGAGACATAGCCTACTCTTCAAGGCTAAGGAAGGTTGTTTTTAATGAGTAGTTACAGTCTTTGAGATGGGACATTCAAATGTACCAATTACTGTCATCTTTCTCTTGTTTTCTTGCTCCTCTCCGTGCAAGAAATGGAAGAGTGCAAATTCTTCCCATCTGTCTGTGCCCAGAGCTGCACATAGGCTTTTGGGGCTCCTGTATGATTAGTGTAAAGACTGAAATGTCTCCTGTCCTCATGGCTGTTGCAAGTAATCATCATAAATTGGAATGTATCTGTGACGATGTGTCTTGAAGAGAAGTTGACCTGTTCTCCAGTAATTATGCTTAAAGATATATGTGTGTGGATGTCATTTTGAACAATATAATGCTAACTGGTAGCATAAAGCAATATATGGCCTGAAACTACAGCTATGCACCTCTATTGCTAGTAAAACCGTATACAAAGCAAAAAAACTTCCTTCCTTCCTCCCACGCACATTTAATTCCAGCAGGAACAATGTGGAACATATTAATAAAATTATTTTTGGTAAAGAGTAATAGTGCAGTATAGTTTTACTGGGATATGTTGAGTAGTGACAGCTGCATTATTTTGGGACATCTAGGGAAATCATTTAGTGAGTAGTGACRACTGCTGCTTCATTTGGATGGCATTACCATAAATGTGATTTAATGAGGCAAGCTTTAGCTAGCTCCCTGTAGTAAGAGGCAATGCTTAAAAAGCTAGGAGCTTTTATTTAAGCAGAAGACCTTAATTTCAGAAATGTTTATCATCAAACCATAGAAGACAGTGCGAGAGAAACTGAGTATTTAAACTTAGAGGAGAGTCCTATGGTACTGTATACTCTAAAAGTCAGGTAGACTAAGTAAATGACAGCAGTTTCTTTTGTTTGTTTATTTAAGAAGGTTTGTAATTCAGTGCTCTGGGCACTTTGCCATCATATGTTCAAAGAGATGTGCCCTTTACAGCTGGCAATCTTGAAAAATATAAGCTTGTATCCTCCAGTAATTCAAATCTAAGCATTATACCTTTTCCCAGTTGTTCTACTTTAATCAGGAAACAAATGGCAATTGTAGTTTGCTCTAGGAACTGATACATTCAAACTAATTTGAAACAAAACTGAAGTAATTTCTAAAGCAGAAAAATTCTCTTAGAAAATTCTTCRTCAGTACTTTACATTGTTGTATTCAAAAAAGGGGACTGACTGAAAGACTTGAGCACTTTGTGGTTGAGGGCACAATTCTGGGAGAAGACGCCCTGGAGCATTGCAGCTTTCTGTGGCAGCCAGCTTCCTCAAGCGGTTTTCTGAAAGCCTTTTAGCATTTACTGTAAATCTATATAATCCTGAAAATATATGTAATTCACTTATTCAACAAGTAAAATGTCATCTATGCCTCTTTCTGAGCAAASTTAAGATGTAGAGATAAGCATAGCTCTTTTTAACAGTCATGTCTTGAAATGGTAAAGGCATGATTATCAAGACATATATATCTATATGTATATGTGGGTTTTTTTGATCAAGGAAGTTTTCTGTATTTGGTCAACTTCAAGTTTAGTCTGAAAAGAACAGAAAATTTGTTGCAAAGTCCCAGACATCTTGTTCTTGCCGCAGGGGCAAGCACTGTAGTTTGGGAATCATGCCCAGTACTCTTCTTCCCAGCCCTTTCCAAAACCAGAGAGTGAGCTAGTTGTATTTGCAGTGGATTCTTACAGTGGACTCTCAGGAATGTTTGTAATTTTATATGTAACATATGTTATTTTCATAACATATATTTTCATATCATAAATTAGGGGGGTTGAACTAGATGATGTTTAAAGGTCCCTTCCAACCTTTAAGGATTCTATGATGCTATGTTCTATGTTGATTTCATACTACATACATATGTATGCAATTTCATATATTCACATATTTCATATATGTATATATGTAATTTCATATATAATAAAGTATATTTCATTTTATTTCATGACCATATGTGACCATATATCTTGGTAGTTTGAGATTACGAATTGGAATTCTTTGGTAGATTTAAATTTAAATGTGATTATATCTGTAAATCCAGCATTTTATTCCTTGGGTGGTCAGTGAATTTCTTTTTGGTTTTTAGGTTGCACACCTTCTTGGCACATCACTTTTTTTTTTTTAAAGCAATTTATTTCACTGGATATCGAACGATATTTACTGTTTGATATTATAAGCTCATCTGTAGTTTCCAGTTCTTTTTGCATTTTTGGCAGATTGCTGAATTAATTACACAGTGTTGGATGAGTGATTTGATTTCTTCTCTGTAAAATTAAAAACAAAAACAAAAAATCAAGCATATGGATGAGGCTAAGCATTTAAAAAAGTTGATCTTTTTGAAAAATAAAAAGGGCCTAAAGTAAAACAAAAGAATACASGAGAAAATAGTTAGCAGATGGCAGGCCCATATTTTTAAAAAAAGACRTTTTGAAAAGGCTTAGAAAAGGGACTGTTACCTTATTGTGAGAAGACGTAATTAAGATTTAACTTTTGAGTATGTTTGGAGACATGTATTAGGCCATCTTCTGTAACTGCTTACTAAGTATCAGGATTTGGATTCAGTATCCAAAAATATGTTTTTTAGGGTAATAACTGTTACAAAGTATGACCACTGTCAATATCTGTATAAAATTTTGCCCAGAATTTGTTTATATTTGCTTAAGTGGCATAAAGCAGCTAGTCCATCTGCAGGCTGGGATGTTCTCGGTGGAGCTGGTTTCCTGGGTAGGGTAGATGAGAGCTACAGGAGTTAGTAGCAGAGACTGAAAAGTCTCCCTTTCCATACTGCACGTTCATGCTGGTAAAAGATCAAATATGAATTATTTCTGTCTAAGGAAGATTTWAAAAAAAAGAAGAAATTTCTTCCGACTACTGGAAAAATTTATCTGCTTTATTCCCCAAAGATGTTTGTGGAGCTAATGTAGAAAGAACCGATTACAAATGGCAGAACAAAGAAGGGGGAATAGAGCACTGTGAGAGATCCATTTGTGATAGCTAGCAGTCCTTTGTTTGGAATCATTCACATCAAAAAYTGGGGTTTTCCAAAAAGAAATTGGGAAGCACTGTCTTCAGCACTCTGTGTAACATTAATCAATAAGGTACTGAAATGTAGAAATGGATGGTTTTGTTAATGACAGCCTGCCCGCTCTGCTCTGATCTCTTTCTCCTGATTCACAGGAGGAGAAAGCATTGCTCTAAACTTTTTATCAGTAACAAACAGCACAGTCATTGCTGCTATAATAAAATATATATTAAGCAGCACTTCTGACACCTTTCCCCTCTGAGCCTGCTAACTTTGTGAGTATCTCAGCCAAGACTCCTGAAGAAGGGTATTCTGAGAGACCATTATGTCGATTGTACAAGTAAAAGATGGGGACCTGGAAACTGTCCTAATGGTATCTTTGTTCCAGTCGAACAATGACAGGGTATGTTCCCAGTCACCGAAACGTAATACGCTCTTAAGCTGTGAGAACCGATCCTGGCATGCTTTTCACTTGTGCCAAGTGGTTTTCTTCCAGACAATTCTTTGGCTCTGTTTGAGATTTAGCACAAGGTCCTTTTCATAAAAGCACCGTATGTGGCCATCCTGTTTTAAGAGGTTAAGAGATTTTAATAGCATTGATGCAGGTTCTTCTATGCCAATAGAGTTCATCTTGAGTGCGTTTCATTTACTAGTATAGATGTAGCCTATGTTTGTGTATTTCAGATTATAATATTTCTGGCAATTTGGATTTTATTTAATTTGTGTTGAGTTAGCACTTGCTATTGCTGTCTGCTATTAATCTGAATTTGAAATACTGTAAACTATAGTTTTGGAGCCCTTCAGAGAATATGGCATGTGGCATTTCATTGTCCTTCAGTGGCTTACCAGCTTCTTAGTGGACTACGTTTTCCTTTTACTCGAGAGTACTTGATCACCCAGTAGGAATAAGAAATGGAAATGAACTCATAGTAGAAATAATTTGTTAGAGAGCGTTAGACCTATTTAGTAGATTTATGTAGAATTCTGTGACTAGCAAATAGTCTGTTATTGACATTCTTGCTCACTGTATCATGGAAAATATTGCAGCTTGCAAAGGGGAAAGATAAATATCAAGTTTATATTTTCCCTCCATTTCCCTACAAACTTTTTTTTTTTTTTTAACAAAATAGAACCATTCTATAATATTCTCTCTAGAATTTCAGTCTCCTTACTTTTCTGTTTAAATTAGATTTAGAAAAGTAAGGTAAAAAATATTGTATTCCAGGCTATTTATTTCAGCATATCTGGTTTTAATACCAGCTGTATTAAATTCTGTAAACTTTCTGCTTAACAACTGAGACAGTTGCAGATGAATCTCAAAATATTAGCTTGTACTCCACTAATGTTATCTCTGGCTGAATAATACAACTGTAGATTACAGTCATGTGCACTGAATTTCTAGAGATGTACATGAGGAAAGCTAGTCCTTAACACATTTACACACATGCAGTTGACTAATAGTATTGAGTAACAAGATCTTGTAGTTTCTGCAGATAATTCTATGAAAGCACCATTTTGGCACTCAGCAATATTCAAACAGTTAAATTGAAAGTTACAGCAGTGGGCTGCTGTACAAATCCATGGTGCCTCTGCATCAAACATATGGTGTGCAGTTCTAGTCCCAAAGTGTCAGAAAGAATATCACAAAGCAAGAATGGTTAAGAGGAAAGTAAGTGGATGATGAAATACATGAACCTGGTATCTGTGAGAACAAAGTCAAAGTAGATCAAGACTGAACTGAGAAGGGGGTATAATACATAGAGGTCTATAAAATCTTGAGCACCCTTGAGAAAGTGAGTAGGAAATGACAGTCTGTTATCCTCTAAAGAAGAGATACTTGAAGACAAGTCTCTACTGCTGTGCCGTTCTTGAAGAATTAAGTTTAATGTTAAATTTAACAAGGCAGAAATATTTTGAACAGTTGGTCACAATATCATGGAATCTGTTTCAGTTTCGTTAGTGTTTGTGAAGATTTATGTTGTCAGTATTTCTTTGGTAAACTACAGGCAACTCGAAAGAGCTTGTAAATAATTTTATTCAAAGATCAGTTGTTCCTTTTTTACAGCTTTCAAACTTTTTCATTTTCAAGAGGAAACAGCCATTTGAAAGTAGAAAGACTATATAAAACAATAACTATCAATATTAAAAAAAAATCAGAGATTATCCCTTTTTAAATACTTACCAAAAATTACTTTCAGAAGAATCTTTGATATGTGAAAGAGGAAGTCAGTCTGGATAACATTCTTTATGGTCCTTCTGACGTCTGAGGTTCCTTTTTATTCCCTTTGTGTTAAAAACAAACAAAAAAAAACCCCAAAAAACAGGAAAGATTTTTTTACATCTGAACAAAAGTATCTTGCAAGTTGATAATATACTTTCTAAGCAGTGAAATAAAACACAGTGTGTGTCTAGTCTGTCACCTACTGATACCGAGTGACAGATTGTATGCCCTATATTTTGACAAATATGTTTTGCTAATGTTTACTTCTGGGCAAAATAGACCTTAGGTTTATTGTCTAACATGTCACACAATAATATTAAAAATCTCCTGAGAGTTTATACAGAATCCTGTATAAAACATGAAATTTTATAAGGAGCACTTAAAACACTTAGATGTATTTTTCAAAAATAAAACAGATAAAGTAATACAAGATAAATGTTTTCTTCTGTTTTTGTGTGTGACTCTATCTGTTCTCCCTTGCCATTTATGATAACTTTCCAAAAGGCAGAAAGAAGTTACCTAATTCTTCTTAGCCTAGATATTTCAGTTAAAAAATAGCAACATAACAATACAAAGAAAGCCCCATCTCCTCTAGGCATTACATACAAAATAAGTATGTACATAACAAAAGAATGACTTAGAATGATATTTAAAATAAAATGATCTTTGAACAAATATATTTGTAAGTATATTTGCAACGGAGGTGACGAAAGAAAAATGTATTTTTTGTTTTTAGAATCACAGGAAATAAAGTAACTCTATTAAATCAGTCTCGAGTATTTAGTATACTAATCTGGTACTTGTGATGACTGAATTAATTTCATTAGTGTATTATAAAGTTAGTATATAGAAGGTGGTAAAACTTCATGGTGAGTCAGTATGTGAGGCCATCCGGACCACCGGCAAGATAACGTAGACATGTGTTTTGTTAAATCAAGCATTAATTTTGTAAGTATGGAAATTTTTGCAGATAAGATGAACAAATCCAATTTATGAATTGAAATACAGTGAGTTTCTGCTTTTTGGCTTACTGAAACATTGCCTATTAGGTTGCATTTTCAGTTCGCTAAGCAATTAAGGTAAATTTAATGTCCTCTGTAAACCTTAGGGGAAAGTGCTTTTAGAGATTTGTGGCACTTATRATCAGAAAAAGGTTTTATTTGCACCTGTTATCATTGCACTTTGAGGCATGATGTAAATATGTAGATTTAGATAGGGAAGATTTCTTTTTGCCAAGAAATTCTTTCTCTAGGAGCTTATATGCAATATTGAAAAACCCTTCCTCTGCTGAAAGGCTCTAGAAGGACAGTTTGTTATAGTCTCAAAGTTAGATTTATGATAGGAAGAATGCAAATTTAAGGAACAAAAAATTAGGATTAAWTTTTTTTCATAGCTCGTTAGACTCTGAAACAGATTTTTTTTTCCTTAAAATGAAAGAGTGGTATTCAAATCCTGAACTTGCACAGATCGTTTTCTTTCAGATCTGAACTGTTCTATATTCTTTTACATAAATGCACACATTTAAATTTTGCAGCTATTGTTAAAACTCAAAATATCTTAATTATCTTTAAGATCACCTAAAGGGGACATCTTGGTTTTCTAGAAGGTGATCATTTGACACTGGAAGGTTCAGCCTAACCCAAAACTAACTAGTCTTACTAGATTTTCTTTTAAAAAAGTTTTTTGGTAATGCAAATGTGATGTCTGGAGGAATGCACATATGAATGTGCACACCGAATTATTGGATTTTATGGAAACAAAAACTTGTGGGGGTTATGTTGTTGTCTTGTTCACATACCTAAAATTATTTTAATATTTTATTAACTTTCAGTATAATTAGTATTTCCATTCTAAACATATTTTTCTCCTTTGTTAAATAATATATTGGATTGTTGTATTGGGCTGTATTGGGAAGTGTCTGTTTTATTATGTAAACAGGCAGCATTTTTTTTTTCTGGAGAAGTCAAGTTCATTGAAAGAGAACTAACAAACTTGGAAAATTCAAGAAAGAGCATTCCAGCACTGAGAACTTTATTAATTAAATGTGAGCCCTGAGTCCAAATGTTAGCTTATTCTGACAGATTTATAAATGAGGAAGTAATTTTAAATCTGGAAGGTATTTTATTTTACATTAGGTTAGTGAAGTATGTTCAATAGCTGTTCATGTTCACTGTGAAGTATTAACATAAAATTTTCATTGAGCTGAAGCTTGCTCATTCATTTTAATAGGAGATGCATTACAGCAGGCTGACTTGTGTGATTCATGACATTTTGTCAGTATTTCCACAAAAAAAATATGCCTTTGTGTATCTCTTCTCCTCAACTTCGCCTTTTCATCCATGCCCACAGAACCCTAAGGACTGCAGCAAAGCTAAGAAACTCGTGTGTAATATCAACAAAGGCTGTGGCTATGGCTGTCAGCTTCACCATGTCGTCTACTGCTTCATGATCGCGTACGGCACCCAGCGAACACTCATTTTGGAGTCTCAGAACTGGCGCTATGCTACCGGGGGCTGGGAAACTGTCTTTAGGCCTGTCAGCGAGACGTGCACTGACAGATCAGGTACCACCACTGGACACTGGTCAGGTAAGACCAATAGCCCAAGCAGTTTTTCTTTGGTTTATGCAGKTTCTCTCATGTAGAACTATTTTGATACCTCTTTCTTTAATTTTATGTGGAGCATAACAACAATGCCTGGAAGTGTATACATAATTTTATTATTATATTCTTTATATTCTATTTAAATTATCTGCTTTAAAATCTTTTTATACGTTATATGACAGAACTGATATCCTATTAAGAAAACTGTACTSCTGCGGAAGAGATTCTTAATGCAAAAGCTGTTTCAGTTTTCAAGTGTGATCTTTCAGCAGTCTGTCAGACTCTGCTGTGTGACAGATATGAATCCAATTTTTGTGGGAGGATAAGGAGAGTAGTAAATAGAGGCTATAGATGATAAACATTGATATACCGAAGCATGCTTGAAATTAAAAAGCAAAAGAAATGCAAAGAGAATAGTATCCAGTAGGCATTCAGGCACCATCAAAATTGTGCAATATTGAAATGATTTTTAAATAGAAATTAGTGATCTGAATTTCAAGCTCAGGATGAATTGTTGAAGATGTAAAAGCAATGATAACGTTAAATATCTTTTTATTTGTAGATCACTAAGYGATCCATTTTGGCACTACTTGAACACTTACTGAAGGGCATCCATGTTCAGAAAGATCAGTTCAGATGGTTGTTGTCCCAAAGTAAACAGAACATCTATTTCAATGGAAACTTTACAATTGACATTTTGAAGATTTATTAATGCAATTGTAAACTTAGTATGGTTTTATCATTTCTTTCTTATATATTTGAGACTTTTTCACTTATTTGTCAAAATTGAGTAGGTATACAGCAGAATTCAAAATAAATGGGAATATGCTAGCATTTTCCTCTAAATTCATGATAAATACTGGTAGGAATTTTTGAATGCAATTTCTACATGGGTATTTTTACATGGACAGTTGCCAGCTCTTTTGAATCTGTAATAGATATTATTGACCAATTTATTTTGTTGGGCATGCTTACTGGGTTGTTATTTTTTTTTTTTTTTTAAGCCTGCAATTTGGGTATTGAAGTGGCAGTTTCATAAATGCATTAGAATAAATGCAGGGAAGACACATTTGAGAGTGCAATCTATTSAATCTTTATTTGATCTAAAAGAGGACAACTGACTGTTCCTACTCTGAACACTAAATAAATTTATTAAGGTCTCAGCCTTCATTGATAAATGTAGGTTGTCAAGCAAAAATATTAACAACTATAGCCCATATAAGCTAGTAATGGATAGAAAACTAGCTAAATTAGATGATGTGGAAAAACAATTTAGAGGTGAGAGGTGAGACTTTTAGGATATTGCCTCTTTATTTATTAGCACTGATACATATTTGGTTAACATGTGGTGCAATAATAATAGAAATAAAATCTTTTTAACTCTCTGCTTAATACAAAAGTAAGACTTGGTATTTTTTATTAATATTTATATTATTATGTGATTCCTAGGTTATACGGAAATGTTTTAATAACTGCTCTGATGAATTCTGATAATTATGGCCAGTCCCATAGCTCCTTCCAGATAGGGAAAAGTAAACTGTTCTAAGGAGTGTCTGAGGTTTCAGATGTCATTCCTTATGGTGTTTGCCTCTCATACTTTCTTAAATTTTTCTTGTAAATCTTCAAGCCTGTTATAGGCAGAGCCCATTCATTTCAGGTTTTTTTTAGTTATGTGGAAAGTGTGGAAATATTTCAAGATCCAAGTGGATGAAGCCCTGAGCAAACTGTTCAAATCCCATMGGCAACCTTGCTTTGAGCAGGAGGTTCAAGTAGATGACTTCCTATGAATGTCTAATGTAGGGAAACTTAATAAATGAATCCAGCTGGGCAAAGTGGGATTGTGGCTAATAATAACCTGATCTTTTATCCTAATAATCTGTTAAAGTCTAGAAACATTTACTTTAGAAGACAGTGAAAACAGGTAAGGGGTAAGCTGTGTAGAAGAGTASTTTCTTCCAAGGCTCAGGGGTTAAATCAGGTTTTGATCATTCATATGCGSCTTCATTTGTGGAGGTGAATCTCATCACTCTTTCTCAAAATCTTTGATCATCAGCGCATATCAAAAGCTTCAGTAGCAGAGAAGAGTCTCCTCAATATGACACTCTACGTACCCAGTGCACATGGAATGTGAGGGAATTAATTACTGAAATATAAGCACCAAGCCACAAACTAGTGTTTGGGTGTAATTAACTGCCAAGTAGCAGTGCGTTTACACACTAAAACAACATTTATATTTTAGGTCATTTCTTCAAAGCTTCAAGGTGCTCGAAGACTTCCCTTTGGAAATTCTAGGTTTTTTGTTGTGGTGATGTTTGTTTGCATATTTATTTAAAACATGAAATTTTCCCAAAACTTGCTTTCAGAAATAAATGGTTATATATTTTCTAAAAATCACCATGCTGAAACAGAAACCTGGCATTGAAAACTCCAACTGAAGTTGTACTTGCACTTGGCAAAGTTAGCAACTAAAATACTGCTTTCAACTGAGAAGTGCTGGGAAATTTAGTTATAGGCAGTTTTATGAACCTTGCATTTGCTATTATAGGCTGTAAACCAAGTGTTTTGCAGCACTTATGCCCACATGGCTTAAAAAAACCCATATATTTTCATTCCCAAGCTTGAATCTTGTTTCTAATGATCTATTTTACACAGATTTTCATTTCCTGTAATATGGGCCCTTGCTGGCAAAAGTACAAATAACAATTCCTTTCAGTTCCCTACAGATTTTTTTTTTTAATTAGTGTCTGCTAAGGAAAAATCATTCCAAGGCTGAATGCATAAAATATCTTGACATGATCAGTTCTGTTCTAATTAATGAATGCCACCACTTTGAATTTTGAGGTTCTAGAGAGATAAAATACTCAGCTATGAAAGGATCCTTACTGGCTAACCATTCACACTTAGACTGTTACGCTCTAGCTGTGTAAAATGCCATGATCACTGCAGACAATTGGTCTGTGTTACTCTCTCCAGTTTAACTTCAGTATGAATCTTCACAGGATCCATAATTAGGAGTAAATTTGAAAGACAGTCTCTCTTGCTGAGGATTTTTTGTATGTGTTTTACTTTTCTAAAAGTTTRTTTATTTTTGCTTAAATTTTTCCTTTGTTGCCTGTTCTATTCTAGGTACAAAGTCTGAAATTCTTAACTTAGAAAAAAAAGAAGGCTGGCAAAATCACACTTTTAATATATTTTCATAGAAATTCTAAAATCAATGCGAGAACTTCTTAATAAATGCATAAAGATGCATAAAGTTTCTATATTATAAACAAAATTCTCTTACATACTGTATGCAATAAAGTGTACATATGGGCATTTTACAGAGGTAGTTTTAAAATTATATATCCAAAATATTCATACAAGTAATTGTTTCAGGATGTCAATATCAATTACAGAAATTTGCCCAAAGGTCTGAAAACTATATTGTTTGAGTATTTACAAGTGTATTTAAAGGTACTACRTACAATAAAAATTTAGTAAACTGTGCCTCTTCCTGTCATGGCAGGAAAAAAAAAGGTTAAATACCTACTTTTATCTTTCTTGTTACTTAAATTGCTTAAATTGTCTCTACTTGAGTCTTTTAATAAAGGTGTATTAGCAACTTGAAATTTTGATATTTATGAAATCTGGGTTGAGCAAAACTAGATAGTAATCTGTTCTTGAAAGAATTAAATGACTTATACAAGTTGAGTATGTTTTCTTTTAAAAATAATAATGCAATCCCTTCCTAGATATTCGTATAGACTTGCATGGGTATTTCAGAAAAAATAGCATAGAATGAATTTTAATATGCAGGCTAATGTTACTGTGATAGTAAAATGTTATCTGATAATTGTTCAATATGGAAAAAGAACTGGGGGGGGATCATCTTAGTCCTTGTCATCTCTGACAGGAATTACTCTTATGCATTTGTCATGCTATTCCTACATGTTAAGTTTCATTTTTCTAGCTGGGGTATGTCAAAAGATTAGGAACTGTTTTGACTTTTTTTTCAAATAGATTAGCTATTTTACAACTTGGAACACTGCTGCTTTTCCCTTTGCTCTTCTCAAACACTATTATATGGTCAATCCACATGGTAAAAATTGTCTTAATAATATACAAAGTTCATTTTTAATTTTTTAAAGCCAATCAGGCAGAAGTAATCTAAAGGACTAACTGAATATTACCGTCTCAAACCATGAAAAAAGTTCAACAGAATTCGTTGTAAAAGATAAAAAGTTTCCTTCTGTACCAATTCTTCCTTGAYAGTAGCTCTCCTTTTACATAACTCAGTTGAATATTTAGTGTTAATCTAAAAAGATTCTGTAACTTGTATACTTTAGTTTAAATTCTCCTTTACAATCATATGAATTGTTTTGCTCCCRTAGCTCACTCTTCTTTATAGAACATTGCAGAAGCAGTTGATCCACTTCTTTTTTTTTTTTTATACTGAGTTTTATTTACTTTTTAATTCAAACATGTATGAATTTGCTTTAAGTGTGAAGCACTTTGGAGAATGGTGATTTGGGAAAGAAGAGCAGATTTCTGTCTTCTATTTTTCCCCTTTGTTTTAGTAGAGTTAATCTTTAAATTACTGAGGCAGTGAAGGTTTTTTATTTTTTTTTTTTTTCTTTGTAACATGTTCTGTAACATGTTCTGCATAAGGGAAAATGGGGAAAATATTTTGGAAAGCTAAAAGGACATGAAAATTGTGTTACAATGAGGTGGGTGTAGCCTAATGAGGTAGTAGCCTAAGAAAGCAAGCGTGATCTTTACTGTGTAAATGGAGGGATACTGAGTAAAAAAGTAGTTGGTCTTAACTTTGCACAGCAACGGCCAGGCTGCAGCTCAGGGTCCCATTTTATTATTCCGCATTTGGAATAGGTATTGGTAAATAAGAAAGGATGCAGAAAGAACTGCATTGATTCAAGGCCAGGAATCTGCTTTATAGTACAAGATTAAAGAACATTATTCAATTTAGCATGGAAGCAAGTTAAAAGCTG